GGCGCGGGGCGGTGGCGTCGCCGGCGGCGCCGGTGGCAGCGCGCGGCCTGCTGGGAGCGGGCGCCATGGCGGTGAACTACAGCGCCAAGGAGGAGGCCGACGGGCACCCGTCGGGCGGCGTGGGGCTGTCGGGCGGCGGCGCCGCGGGCGGCGGSGGCGGCGCGGTGAAGACGCGCAAGCCGGACAACACGGCGTTCAAGCAGCAGCGGCTGCCGGCCTGGCAGCCCATCCTGACGGCGGGCACGGTGCTGCCCGCCTTCTTCATCATCGGCCTCATCTTCATCCCCATCGGCATCGGCATCTTCGTCACCTCCAACAACATCCGCGAGTACGAGGTGCGGGAGCGACCGGCGGAGCGAGCTGCCGCCGGGGCCCCCTCGCGGGCCTGGGGAAGGGGCCGGGCCGCGCCAGAGGTGTCGCGGGGCGCGTGGGGAGCCGCCCGCGGCCCCGCCGGSGTGAGGCGGGAGTGGGTGTCGCGGCGGTGGTTTCCGTGGCCTCTGGGGTGAGCTGGCAGCGCGGCCCGGTTAGGTGGACGTTTCTGCTCTCTGGATGTTTCTGCTCTCTTTCAAGCTACCATTAATTAGCCCGGGTAGCTGCTGAGCTGAAGGAGTGTCTGCTGCGTGGGCTGTGGTGCTGTGGTCAGGTTTAAGTGAACTCCTGGGGACCTGGGTGTCAGTGAACACACAGCTCAGGGTCCGTCAGGTTTTCAGTAGAAAAAAAAGTGTGTGTAGCCTTCATGAGGTGAGTTATGGTAACAGGCAATATCTGAGGTAATGAGGGGTAATTCAAGACAGATCTTTGTGGTGAATGCATTGCTGTAATTTTTATGTTAACTCTTTATGATTTCACATGCTTCCTAGGAGCCAGTATGTTCGGAGTTGGACTTAACAGCAAAAATGTGAGAGAATGAGGCCCTCGGGTGTTTTTTTTCCCTAAAAGTAAAAGCTGAAAGTCATTTATACCTGAAACTCAGCCATTCTGCTGCCTCAGTTACTCCATGTTTCACAGAACTGAACTGTATCTCTTTGATAGCAGAATCACGTGCATTGTAAGGTTTTCCTTTTAGGCTAAAGGAAAGGTTTTCCTTTTAGGCTAAAAAACATTTTATACTCAAAGGTGTTCATCTTATGCACATGTGTGGATTGACAGCTTAGTACTGGTAGGCTAATGGGACTGAGATTAATGGGGGAAGGTGCAGTTGTTTGGAGTGTTGGAGATTCTGTCTTTTATAGACGAAGTCATTGCAGTAACTTAGATAACCAGTTCTTTTCATATAAGTAATGTTCAGAACAGTACCTTAGTTGATGATAATCAGTGGCAAARAAGCCTTGTTATTTAAAGAAATTGAGGTAGACAGTAAACAATGAAAGAGCAGTAGTGGCTTCTTCTGTATCACAATAAAAACRATGCTGTTATAAAACCAGACAAGGAAAATGACCCTTAAGTTCTTTAGAACTAAAACTCTAGAGTCAAGGAAAATAAAAGTTGAAGTTTAAAAAAAAAAAAAAAAAGCCAAAGTGTTTTTTACAGTCTCCCAATGTTGCATATAAGTTTATTAAAAAAAGAAAAAAGGTAAAAAAACCACTCCTTCTTTGAGAGTATACATAATATTTTGAAGTTGGCACAGTGGCTTCAGAGAAGATTGCCAAGTTGTAATGGCTATATAGGCTTTTTTTTAATGCCACCCTGAAATAATTTTYAAGATAAATATCTTGTTTTTCAAAGGATTCCCGTTTGTTTACAGTGGGTGGACCAGTGAAACTCTTCCCTACGAGTTGATCTATAAGCAYAGAGTATGTGCACCAGGGGTTAATTTGAGTCCACAGATATAAGTTAATCCCTTATCTTGCATTTCTGGTGTGTGCATATTCAGTGTCTATACTACTGCTGCTGCTTAGCAGCTCAGTCCTGTGTTCCTGCAGAGCTACAAGCTACTGACGGTGTCTTTTCACCTAACAGGTGCAGTACTAAAAGCCATAGGTGAACCCAGGTGAATCTGCACAGTCAGATTGTAGTTACAAAACAGAAGGGGCCATTCACATTTGGGAATGAGATGAATTTAGAAGAAGTGATGATACTTCCCCCAAGAAATTCATGATTGGAGAAGAATTCATTTTTCTCAGTGTGTTCAGTCAACTCRCCTCACATGAGGTTTTCCTCAGTTTATTAGCACTTTGGGAGGACAAGAGGGACGGAGTTTTTGACTTCTGAGAGAATGACTTCAAGATACAGCAATAGGGATGTGCAAGTAAAATGGGGAAGCTTGTGTCCAGTTCTTTGATCTTGCATTTTTCACAGAGAGGTTTAACACTGAAATTGTGAAATTAGTCTACCTGCCTTTAAATTACACTTTCCAGCACWTCCAGCTCAGTCTGGGGAGAAGTTAAATTTAGAAAGATTTTACAGCTGCAGTATTAGAACTTAAATGACCAGTTTTGCAATTCAACATTTGGTCTCCAAGTAGTAGTGAGCAGTGCAGTGTAAGATAYGGCTACTGCCTGTATCTCCAGCTCCAGCGGCTCTCCTTGGGATTAGCATGCTGGCTTTTGGTAGTAACCTCCAAATGTTATTCACAAAGAGCTGTAAATTTACCTCCTGGAGCCAGTGCTTCTGAAAGCCAGATGCAGTGACTAAGCTATTTTTAAAATGTAATTGGAACAGGAAGCAGAGCTTGTTATTTATTCCCAYCTTCTAGACAATAGCTTGGCTCTTGACTGTGTGTGTATGTCTCCAGACTTAGTGTATTGGAGTTGAATAGGAGGTGTGCCCCCAAAATACATATCTGTGTACAGTTGGAATTTCCTGGAATTAAATATTGTAACCATTAGTTGTCCTGGGAACTGGGCTGTTCTCATACAGGTACAAGGATTGAGCAGCAAAATGCAGGTGTTTTTTTTTTTCCATTGATTTCCTTTATAAGCACTCTTCAGCTTGAATATGGAGGGTTTCCAACGGCTTTAATGTACCAGAATCATCGTGCTTGTATGCTGATTGTTTAGCACTTTCTCATGTTTTCAAAGGGGGTAAATACTTTGGGAGTACCCTGTAAACAGTTTATGTGAGCGGAAAATGAGAAAAGGCTGCATGTTTGTTTTTGGCTTGTACTCTTAAAGACTGAAGGAGTCTTCACTCACTAAATGGGGAAGGATCATGTTGACAATGCATATTAAATTATAGTAAGAACTAAGCAATAGCCAAAAAAAGAAAAAAAGATACGAGATTCTCTTGCTCCACCACTCTGAAATCCGTAGCAGTAGTTAGAAAGGCAAGTAAATCGAGGCGGTAATAGGAATGGAAAACTGGAAAAAAGTAGCTTGCCATTGCACGCGTCTTGCGTGTTGCGTGTAGTCCTGGCCAGCCATTCTCAGAAATGATGCAGTCCTAGTAATAGCTACAGGCAGGGGCTGCAGGAAGACCAGAGTTTTGGGATGACTTCTAAGCAAGAAGYGGCTACAGAAAATAGATGTGTGAGGTATGGAGTGTGTGAGACCATAATTGGTATGGAGAATATGCACACACAGTAGTGGTCTTATTTCTGATTTCTTCTGTGTGAAGATATAAATGAACTCTGAAGGATCTCAATAGCCTGAAGAGTCCTTGGTGGCAGATAACTTAGATACCCCAATGTCCTTACGTCTGCAGCTGCTGAGAAGGCCATGAGGAAAGGGCCTGCTCTGTGGGTCTGATGTGCWTGGCTCCAGCCGGACCCTACAGACAGGATGCTGGATCAGATGAATTTCTGCTGCAGCCCAATAAGTTTTTAGCAAAGTAATTTCATTATTTGTCAGAAGATGAAAATGGCAATCAGATTTAATATATCTGAGAGCTTTTACAAAAGAGCTGTAGGTCCTGGGTAGGTTAGGTAAAGGGATAAAGATAACTGTAAATGTGGGGGCAGAAAGAAAAATATACGTTGGCAGTTTAGACTAAAGCTCCTGGGTTGTATAGATGCTGACAGCACTGGTCAAAAGCATGGTTCTGTTTTGTTATACTCCCTTTCATTAGACAATGTAATGTTATTTTTAAAATTGGAGACTTCAGAACTTTTGTAGCCTTAAAGAATTGAATTTTGCTCTTTATCTGTGATGGTTCTTTATTCAGTGCAGAAGTTCTAAGATAATGAGATTAATTTTTTTCTAAAGAAAATGCTCTGTTGAGATTGCTTCAAAAGGAGAGAGGAAAACAGAACAATTAGCTATGAATAAATGAGAYATGTGGTCTGTTTAGAACCGTGCTGGTCTGTGTTCCCTAGCTAAATAGAGCCTTCGAGGACTACTGATGTAGTACTGTCTCCAGATGAACGTAGACTCAATCTTGCTTGGTGAAGGAAGCAAAGTCTATGGGATCCTGTCTGACTTTCACCTCTAATAACTTTTGAGGCTGACTTGTTTCAACTAGGTCGGTTAGAAGGGGATCTCGTCTGTCAAAAATCTGGCAGCAGAATAGAAACTACAGGTTTGATCTGAGATATCAGAACAACAGGCTACTACTTCAGATGATGTTGCTGTTAAATAGTTTGTTTCCTACGCTTGAAGCCAACCTGCTGAGCTGGTGTTAATTATTTCCTGCCCTTCACGTGCTCAAGGCAAATGGCAGAAAGAGCTAATGCAGACAGGTAACTGTCATCGGCCTGGGTCACAGAGCAAAGTCGTGGCTGCTCAGGGTGTACTTATCTYGTGGTAGCTTAAGTTTGGTTTCATATCATTTTTACTAATCAACTATGCTATTAAGGACAAATAATTTTGAATGAGCCAGATTATGACCTATGGTCATCTCATCCATCTGTGAGTATTTCTCATTCTTGGCAAACCAAGAACTTAGGCCCAAATATGGGCAAATCAAAATCTTATGTGAAAGTATTTTTCATACTGAATATCTGAATTGACTTTTAACCTCTTGGAAAATATGCAGCCCCCAAATTGGCTCATTATATATATAGTATGGGTGTTTAGAAACATCAAAACATCATCTGTTTTTTTTTTTCTTCTTTTTTTTTTTTTTTTTTTTTTAACCAGAAAGTAATGGTCTACCCTAGAGTTAAATTTGTTTGAGGCAGGAATTGAACCTGTAGACCTGAGTAAGGTTTTGGAGTAGAGGTGAAAAAAAGGTTGCAAAATGAATCTACACCAGCTATTTGACATACTATTTTTTTTTTCACCCTGCCATTGTAATTTAATGAGATATATATATATATTTTATTATAGATTGATTATACAGGAACAGAGCCTTCTAGTCCTTGCAACAAATGTTTAAATGTGTCCTGGGACAGCACACCACCTTGTACTTGCACCATTGACTTCACGCTGGAGCATTCATTTGAGGTATACTATCTTGAATATACAGTAGAATTAAAATTGTTTAATACAGTTCCTTTGATAAGAGTTCAGCACTACTGAAGTCTTCTTTTCCATATGAAAAGGCTGTTTCTAGTGGTCTTGTTCACTTGGATTTGATAGACTTTGTTTGTATGTTTACTTTTGTGCCCTTTTTCAGCGGAGCCTGAAATTGGTATCAATGGGTAATTCCCCAAATCTGTGGGGAAATGTGTAATATTAACTGGAAAACTTCCATTGTATGTATGTAGATCTGCCATCTCTATGCTTGGTATGTGTCCTACAGCTAGCCAGTAGASCAGACATTCCTTCATGACTAAGAAAAGCTCAATTCAGCAAGAATTAGAAATATCATGTGTTTCCTGACAAATTGGAGGCAAGCTGTAACACTTAGGTGCTTAGCATTGGACAAGTGTTGGAATTTAGGGCTTCTGAATGTCATGCTGATAGTCTTATGACATGTTGATGCTGTTTGACTTTAGGATGTCATCTTATATTAGGATTAGGAGGAGTACTAATGCTTCATATTTAGCGTCAGTGGGAGGAGAGAGTTGAGACTTTGTTTATTAATGCTGCTGTAAAATAAAGACAAAATTTCAGAGGTTAAAATTTAATCTCTCAATCRCTGTTTTAAAACATTTCATTGATGTCTCTTCTTTATATGAATGAAAATGCATTTTGCTTCATCTTGCTGTAGAGCAATGTRTTCATGTATTATGGACTTTCCAACTTCTATCAAAACCATCGTCGTTATGTGAAATCTCGAGATGACAGTCAGCTAAATGGAGATAACAGTTCATTACTCGTAAGTATTTATGCCTGGGCAGCACTAAGCAACCAACTTCTGGCTATTGCATACATCACTGTGTACCAGAGTATATATTTGAATAATGCTTAAGTGACCGGGTTTTGTCCTTGCGTAATAGAGGTCATTTTGGTTACAGGGAAATGACTSCATTGTGCTTAAGTAATTTCAGTTAGTGGATAGTAATAGTGTGCCGTGAAGATATTTTGGTGTTGAATAGTTCAAATTTGYCATGTTACCTTCAGCAGGTGAGGTCTAGCTACATGTACCTGCTTTTGTAGATTCAGGTTCAATACTGAACTTCAGCATTATTAGGAAATATCCAGACTGTGTATACTGTGCAAAAAAAAGGTGCAATGCTCAGGGCTGGAGTGTTTACCTTTCCTCATTTTTARGAGGAATGCACATATGTTTGGGTCTTTATATGACTCCAGACAGAAAAAAAAAAAAAAAACCACACACACACACATACACACACACCCCTTTTAAATGTTCTGAAAGGGGAGTTCCARAAAGTTCAAAGCACACTTACCTGTCTTTCTCTCTTTCTAAATACCAGAATCCCAGTAAGGAATGCGAGCCTTACCGCACCAATGAGGACAAGCCTATTGCTCCTTGTGGAGCTATTGCCAACAGTATGTTTAATGGTATGGTAGCACCTTTAAATTAGCACTTGGGGTGTTTTCATGATGTAATTCATKTTTCATGTTGTGTTGGAAATTAATCTTGTGTAAAAACATAATGCTTTTTATCTTTTGAATTGATTGCTCAGTAGATGTAGTAGATGTTTTTCCCTTTACTGCTGTTGCTTTTTTGTKTTTCGGAATGCCCATCAGGATTGAGTTAATCTTACAGCACATAATGGATGGAAATATTTGTTGTGAGGAGCTCTTACAGCTCTGAAACAGACACACATATTCTGTATTACAATACACTGCTATCTGATCCGTATGACCAAGTTGTTTTTTCTAATCTGAATTTCTCCTTAGATACATTGGAATTATACCGCCTTGATAACGATACAAGGATTCCTATTCCTTTGATTAAAAAGGGCATCGCATGGTGGACAGATAAAAATGTAAAGTTCAGGAATCCTTCAGGAGATACCAACAACTTAACCGCGCTTTTCCAAGGTAAGCAAGATTTTAAGATCAAAAGACTATCAGAACACTTCAAGAACACTTTGACTCAGYCTGAATTTTACCTCGCTGACATCATTTTAATGACTGTAAGAATACTGTAGTTCTCTGAAGAAAAACAGATTTAAAAACTACTCTAGAAAGTTACCTATAAATAAGAAAGCTAAAATCTGTGTTTAACTTCTTAACTTGTAACTGTGAAACTAAGACCTGTTTTTATTCTGCTCTTTTTAAAGCTACAGAGAAGTAATTTCAGTTAGTAGCTTATTATCAACGTAGGCCTCTAATTTTCTATGTTATAGTATAAATAAATGTAATATAAAGCTCTGCTAGATTTGAAAAGGGAAGAGGAGATGCCTGAAGTACAGAGAAAGGTTAGATGAAGAAGTTGAACTGAAAATACAAAAAAAAGTATTCAAACAGAAAATTATCTTTAAAAAGACTTGTAGTTTTTCTATTTTCCTTATGCTCTCTGTGGCAATTCTTTAATTATTTAGTTTAGTTTCTGTGACACTTTAGCAGCTAATTTCTATTTTACGTTGTTGGGGGGTGTGTGTTAAATGACATTTCTMGTTGCACTTTAGGCTGTTGAAAATCAGAGAATAATATTTAACGTGAATTTTTCTTCTAATCCTTATTTCACTTGAAAGTTGGAAATAGTCTAAAATGCTCACTGCCATAGGGCTTGGTTCTAAAACAAATCCTCCAATTGTTACCAAACTTTTTATTTATTTATTTATTTACTATTAGAAGTGACTAAATTCTCTCTTATTTGCTGAGCTAACTACAGTTCGGTAAACCATAATTATCTCTGGCTAAAAAGGTAATCTTCCTTAGGCTTTAAGGTGTGTGTATGTATGCAAAGTATATAATAGCTTCTTGTCTAATCTAGTGTGGATTTATTGCTTAGTCATAGCTAAATTATATATTACCAAAGTGGTGCTGTCCTTGGAAAGCCAGATATCTTAGCCTAGTACAGGTGCAGAATTATATTTCCATTAGATTTAAGAAAACAGTGCATAACAAAGCAGCAGTGTGACACCATCTGAAATATTGTGCCCAACTTTATTTGCTYATGGTCTGCGGAGTGGTAGTCAAATTGTAGGCACCGGGAGAGAAGTTGCAATCATAAGGGAGAATTATCTCACTAAGGTAGCTTAATATTTTGAGACAAAATTTCCTAATCTCTATAAATACATAGAGGAGGAGAACTTGTTTAACGAACAATGCTAGCGTGAGAGTAAGTGAATATGGACTATTATTTAAGCTGCCTAAAACAAAGCTGTCGAGCAGTGTTGAAATAGGAATGAGCCAGCCTGGCTGATCCTATTACTTCAAAACTAATACGTGTTCTTTGTAAGGTGAGTGAGAATTTTGAGGGCACTCCCCTCACATGTCATTCCGAGCCCTGCATTGTTCTGTTGTTGTTTTTCTTTGCCCCTAGGCACAACCAAGCCTGTAAACTGGCCCAAGCCAGTGTACATGCTGGACTCRGAGCCCGACAACAATGGCTTCATCAACGAGGACTTCATCGTGTGGATGCGAACGGCGGCGCTGCCTACGTTCCGCAAGCTCTATCGCCTCATCGAGAGGAAGAATAACTTCCAGCCGACCCTGCAGGCTGGAAAGTACTCCCTGGATATCACATACAGTATCCTTTTGAAAACCTTCAGCAGCTCCCAGCAGCATTAGCTGGATCACTGGAGGTTCTGTGGTGGTGTGGTGTGGAGGTTTTGTGGTGTCTGTGGAGGTTCCAACTGAACGAGCCTCRTCTCCTAGGATCTCTGAAAAGAGATGGCAGTGAACAGGGATTGGAAGGTATTAGTGAGAATTGTGTAGAATAAGGACTGTCTTGGTACTCTTAATATAGTCTAAGAACTAAATAGTACTCCAGTGTGAACTTATAAAACAAGTTGCACCTGTTTCTTGGATAAGATTCAGAATTTTTTTAGGGTTCACGAATGAAATAATGGGGCTAGTTTTAAATTCAGGATAGCTTTTGTGAAGTCTGAGTTGTCTCAACTARTTAGACTATTTCCTGAAGAGTATGATTCTGCAGGGTTACTGAGAGCCTTTTTTTTAGGCTAAAAATATAGTTCCAAATCAGAAAAAATGGRAATAGCCTACTTTGGAGAATGAAGGATCTCCAGATGCATTCTAATACAGGAGCAATCTATAAATTAATGGCCTTTTATGCAGTACGTTTTTAACCTTAGCTTATTTTCTTTGAGTCAAGTGCAATTTATTTTGATGCTTTAAACTACTATTACATAGCTTGCAAGACTACATAGTTGGCATACAGAAACTGTATAGAAAGTTTCTGCAGTTCCTGTACAGGAGGCCTGTCTGAGGAGGTGATGGAAGCATATTAATCCCAGGGAAAAAAGCTACATATTTTTCCTGATGGGCAGACTTTGGAAGACGCTAGTGTCTTCTGTGTCCTTGACTTGAGCTCTCAAAAGAGTGAAGTCAGTCTCTCATTACCCTTCTTTCTCTCACATTTTGTGAGAGAAGAACATTAGAAGAACAGAGCAGAGGTAACTGTTAGCCTAGAAATTTGAGAGTACATTTTCAATCTATTAACCTCTGGTGTTAGAGAACAACAACGAGATGTAATGTAGGACTTTGGAGGCAAGCAAAATGGCAGATCAGGTGAGTGATGGCTGCAATCCTGTTTTGGCAAACTAAAGAGTAGGCAGAAGTGCAGTAGGGTTGTCATAGTTACTGAATTCTTGATGTCTGACAGCTCTGGATTGCTTGTTTGGCTGCTGCCGAGTGCTCATGGAGAATGCTGCTGTCGTGGTCTGTGCGGCGAAACAGTGGGGAGTGCCCATAAAACTGAAGGAACGTCAGTAGTAAGAACTTCATAATTAAAGAATCTGATTTTCTCTCATTTTATAGAAGTTGTCTTCTGAAGCTGACAGATGGATCCATTTACTCTTCACTTAAAGAGAGCTTGAGAACTCCTGCCACAGAACGTAGCTTAGTCTTTGTCTAAATAAAGAACACTAAATCTTTAATATTTATCTGCACCTCTGGTATTCACAGAGGGATGTTTGTCTTTGGAGCCTGAATGAAATGATCCAGTATCTTACTGAGGCAGACAAAATGCCAATAGGTTTGGGAACATGTTCCTTATTTTCCTAAATGTTCTTCAGATTATCCTGTGCACAGCTTTGATGGAAGAAAAAGAATGATCCTAAGCACCATCTCATGGATGGGAGGCAAAAATCCCTTTTTGGGAATTGCTTACATCACTGTGGGGTCCATATGCTTCTTCTTAGGAGTCGTATTGCTGATCATCCATCACAAATATGGAAATCGAAACACTAGTGCAGACATTCCCAATTAATCCTGCATTCTGAAAACCAGTGTACTGCATGTGCATCAAGGCCAGCCCAGAATGGACCCAGTTTTTGAAAGCTAAATCTCTGCTTATGTCACTTGTGAGGCTGGGTGCATATATATGTTTTTTTTTTTAATCTTTCCCTTCACTGTGGATTAACTCCTGAGAATGACGGGTATCCAATTATCTGTATTGATTGTATCTCTGCTGCTGTCAGAAATGGTTTTCTGATATCTGCCCCTATCTGGGCAGGCCACATGATGCATAGAGCTTCTGTCCCCTTGGTGCATCTGCTGCTTGTTCCTGTGCTGTGTAATGTCAGTATGATTCCGTACATACCGACTGCGTGGAGAAAGACTGTTGTGACATACTGTGTAAATTTGCAAGGATCTTCAGAATTCATATGTCAGTGCTGTTGAAAGCAAAAGTCAAGTCTTTAATGTTTTTTTTTTTTCAGGTTACTGTGTTTTGTGCATGGGCTCTTACATTTCTTGCTGCGATGTTAATATATTTATATAAGTTGTTAAATATTTTTCCTATGTCCTACCCAATTCTGTTATGTTAAATTCTCAAAGTGCAGTGCTGATTACAGCACTTGGGGTTCTTTTTATATTTACAACAAATGTGCCTGGCCAGTAAACTAGCATCTTGCAAAGATACCAGGAGATCTATTTGTCAATTATCTGCATGAATCCATTCTAAAGTGTGATCTAAACTGGGAAGCGCTTGCTGCAGGTAGAACCTGCTTTGCTTTAATTCATTATTAATACTAGTTTACCTATTGTGCTTGCTGCTTTTGCTTTTTATGAGCAGCTCCAAGCATTAATCAAGAAAACATTAAAATATATATTTTTTCCCATTCATAAATCCGGTTTGGATAGTTCTTCTACTGAAGGAATTTCTGTATTTTCTTGAGGCATACATATTCCTAGCAGGCTTTGTTGTAAAGGAAAGGTCATACTCCATTTCCTTGTTTGGAGTAAACAACACATTAAATTTCTGCTGTGTTGAAATCCTGAATTACAGAAATGAAAAATTGAGATGACAGTAGCCTCTGTTTCAATACAGCTTGAGCTTGCTGTGAAACTGAATTTAAATGTTGCAGTTAGAAGCAAAGTGCAGGTTAGCATCTTAAATGACATTACTGAAGGGTTTACTTTTGGGGTCAATTCAACATTAACTGTAACCTGTAAACTATTGCTTTTTGGTTGACTTTTTTTTTTTAGATGATGCACAGAAATTGTAATGTATATGGTGGAGATCACTTTATATGCAACTAGCTTGATAAAGTATTGAATATATATTAAAAAGAACTAATAAATTCTGCAAACCATTTGCTAAGAGATTTTATTTTGTTCTTTAAGATGCATTTAATTCAGCTGGATAAAGTGTGGATGTGATTCAGACAAGTTATATTTCTGAGGTTGCATATTTGTTACAAGTTCTTTATTAATGCTGTCATTGCTCGATATATAGCCACCTTCTAAACAGCACTGCATTTATCATGTGTACACATCACCATTTTTTACTGAATTTTGTGTTACCATTTTTTAAACTTTCAGTTTTAGTATATAAGTTTGCATGAACTGTGAAATTAGGCAGGCTTTCCATAGCCACATTGTGATTTATTTTCATAATATAATGATTCAGCGTAGGGCCATTTAACATCTATAAGGCTGTTGAACTGTTCTACAGTGTTCTACAGTGTCATGTGTGCTGCTGGAATTACCTAAAAAGGGTGTGTAACTTCAATATCTGTACATTATAAAGCATAAAATTCACACAAAATGCTAAATAAACTGGCTTTTATCTGTAGATTAGTTGCTAGTCCAGGAGTTACTGAGCACAGTGCTTCTCTGAAATACTCATCATTAATATATTTTGATTTTTAAAAGGAGTATTTTTCACTTTAAATGTAATAGATGTAAATATATTTTGCTTCACTCCATTTTTTTATTTAAGGAAATAATTCATTTTTTCATTTTAAATGCTGCCTTTTAGTCTCATCTCTGTGAGATGATAGTAAGTGTCCTGAAAGCCACTGTTGACTTGGGAGCCTACTAATAAATGTATCTTCCCTGGAAAGAGTAATCTGGGAAGCTGAGGTATAGCCCTGTCTTTTRCAAGAGCTTTGCAAGGACATTCACCTGTGTGAGACCTGCTTGCTAAGCAGTGTTCCAGTCTGTCCTTAGCATCTTCATCCTGGTAGCAAAGCAGATTGTCACTTCAGGCACTTTTAACCCATATCAGGCTACGTAAGAGTTGTCGCATGTGCTTGTCTGAGAGCAAAAGTTCATTAGGTTGTAGCTGTAATGAGAAGGATGTTTTGGGGCCTTTGCCTCCCAAGGTGACATTGTTAAAAAAAATAGATTCCCAGCAGCCTGATTTTGTTTCCATTGTGAATGTGAGGGCCCAAGGATTGCAAGGCTTGTTATTTTTGCTCCTTTTGCTTGTTTGTTTCTTCAAATGGAAATCTCTAGGAGGAACTGGCTTGACAGTCTAGTAGCAAATAATACCTGCAACCGTACATAGCTGCCTGACTCAGTCAAATAGGCCAGTGAACGTTAGTGTTTGGGCTGCGTTCAGCAATGGGAATTACTGGCTGTGCCTTTCTCCCTGCATTGCTTTCAGTGGGAAGAGGAGGATTGCGACAGACAGATGGGAAATGAAGTGAAATAAATACACTGATTTAAGAGCGTTTTAAGAGCATAGAAATAGGACTATTTATGTTGTTATGTTTAAGAGCATAGAATAGGACTATTTATGTTGACCAGCCTTCCAAAAATTCTCATATTCCAACTTGGAGGGGAGAGAGAAGAAAAAAGAAGGGGGGGGGAGGGGGGAAGAGAGAGAGAGGGGGGAAAGAGAGAGAGAGAGGGAGGAAAAAAAAAAAAAAAAAAAGCTTTCTTCCTGTCTCTCTTCAGTAGCAGCATGATCAGCTTAGGTAAGGCTCACATCTTATGCTTGTAACACCATGAAAAGGTATTCCAAGGTAGAACGCCTGCTTCAGTGCCATGATCCTGACATGGCTGCAAAATCAATCAACATAATTCCACCCATGTGAAGTATAATCTTACTTGGCAGTTTTGATGTAGAGAGAAGTCGTCTCTACACTCTCTGATGGAGAGAGTAAGATATGGCCTGTTAAGAACTACTGTGCTTATGTAATCTGAATCATGAATAACAAACCATCTTCTGAGCCTTTTGCTTTAGTTACACTCCAACTGTGTTTTGGAATAAAGCACCACTGCAGGTTACTCTTACCCATCCTTTGAGTTTATGCCAGCTGCTGCTACAAAGTCTGAAGTTGCTGACAAAAACAATGTACTTCATTTCCTTTTGGGAATAAAATTGAAGATAAAAAGGCACGAGTCAATAATTATTGATAGCTCAGGAAGGTTTAAAAAATGTTTTAATTGATTTGAAGCAAAGTGGGTGGAGTTCTTTACTGCTGAGCTATGATTTCAGATAGGATAGCCCGAAAGAATCAATCAAACCAAATAGCAGAGTTATGTACAAACTGAATTGAGTATCACCTGAGATGTGGATTGTGCTCAGATTGAGGGGGGGAAAAAAATCTTTTTTTTTTTTTTTTTTTTTTTTCTTCCCTCCCCAAGAACATTACAGAGCCAGGAATGTAATTAATGACCTCATTAGTTGCTTTGAAAAGAGGAAATACAGGACCATAGCAATCTTGGAAGAAAGGAAAATGTGACTGCATTACTGCATTCTTGCAAGCTTGCCTAGGTAGGGCAAGAGCTGGTCAGTTGAAGTCAGTATATGCTTCATGTAGTAATGTATTAACCTCACAGATATTTGTATAGGTTGGGACAGACTCTTGTAGGGAATTTGTAGGGAATGCTCCTAGTGAGGAAACTTGCTAGTTCTGAGGGAGGGGAAAARTTTTTTTCCACTGTAGCTTTTCAGAAGGAACAGGAAGTCCTTTAATTCTGCCTGAGACCTAGGATGGTTCCTTCCAACCCTAACCATTCTGTGATTGTTCYCAATTTTCTCCACTAACAAATGTGCTTGGAATCGAGCACCAACTTTAAGAGTGAGACTGGGTCACAATTTCTATTCAGGCTGAGACAAAATTGTTCAATATCGAGATTTTTGATTAATTGACTTTAATTAATTAAAGTACATGTGAAAGTTGTTTAGGCTGTTAGGAACAGTAGYGGTGGTTTTTGCATCTCTGAAATCTCTCACCCTGGGGTTGCAAGTCATCATTTCTCTTTCTTCAAGTTTTAATTGCTTCATAAAATGACCCTTAGAGCAAGGACAGCTGGTGTCCTGAGCAGCCTTCTTGTGGCTTTGATGATCATCACACTAAGCTTCAAGGGAGGCCTTTCTGCTATATACTGTCTTTTGAAAGGAAACAGCACTGAAGCAGAGATTAAGACATAACAGAGTATTGTCCACACTGCCAAAACTTAAATGGTGGTTATTTCTCTGGAGATTATGATCCCTTTGGTAGTGTATAAATGCACTAGGTATATGAAGACCAAAATATGAATAGTATGTACACTCAGAAGATGAAAGGTTGGAAGAGCAATGAATGGGATGCATTTCCAGGAGTAGTAACGTGTTCTGTGGTTTTATATAATATCACAACTGGACTGCTTGGAAACCATTTCTTGGAAATGCTGCTTTGTTGAAGCACCGGTTGTGCTTTCTAAAGGGTGACTTTTAATATCCCACTCGGGTAAGGCTGACAGCTTTGATACTTTCCCCCCCGTTTACTGGGGAAAGCTGGGATGAAAGCAAAGGGTTTTCCCAGAGGGACCCAAAACCCGCGCCCTTCCCGCCGAGGCGCCGCCATGTTGCGCGAGGCGGCCTCCCCCGGAGGACCGTCACCCCGCCCCCCCGCGGGGCGGCGCCCCAGGCGGCAGCGGGGCGGCGGGAGGAGCGCTGTTTCCGCTTCCGGTGCCCTTGCAGCCGGCGGGAGGGGACGGGACCAAGCGGCGAGATGTGGCGGAGGCTGCTGGTGCGCGGGGGGACGGGGCTGCCTGGGCCCGCGCGCGTCCGTGCGCGTGTCCGCGCCGCGCGTCGTGTCCGCCTGTCGCTGTCCCTGTCAGCCTCCGGCGGGGCAACGGCGGTTACGGCCCCGCGTCCCCGCCGCCGTGCTGGGCCTGCAGGCGCGGGCAGTGACGGGCGCGGGGCTGTCCCCGCGTGGAGGCTGCCGCGGTAACCCGCCTCTGTGCCGTTAGCTGTCCGGAGCGGGTCGCAGAGCGGCGCTGCTGGCGGCGCGCGGAGGCGGCGCGGGGCAGCGCCGCGTTCCGCGCCCTGCAGCCGCCCTGTGTGGGCAGCCTGGGCTTTATTTGCCTTTATTTGCCTTTATTTGCCTTTATTTGCCTTCATTTGCCTTCATTTGCCTTCATTTGCCTTCATTTTGGGTGTGGGAGGAGAAGGGGAGAAACGTCCTTGGGCGAGACTTTTAAGGGCTTGGAGGTGCAGTCAATTCTAAATTTTGGGACTCGGCCTGTTAACAAAAGCAGGCTTTAGACCTTGAGGGAATTATACTGTAGGAACCGTGGGGTTTTTGGTGGCCTGTTCTGTAACAAGGGACACTTACGTGATCCGACTGCAGAACCAGATCCGAGCTAAAGGCACAGCAGAACGTTGTTTTGTTTTATTAGCTCTGTTTTGTGTGTGTGTGTCTGTGTTTGTATTTTGTTCTGGGTAACCAGCCACTCAGTTTCTTATATATGTTGGAGGATTGGTTTCTCTTCTTGCTTTGCTGCATTTTTCAATTTTAAAAGGAGCTATTTCAGTGTGGCTGTATCTGAAGCAGTGTTTCAAAACCSGTAATTTCATTATCTTTTGTTTAGGCTCTTCGCCCGGTTTCCCAGAGGACCATAAGCACTGCCTCACGGAGGCAGATTGAAAATAGAGTTGCTGAGAAGCAGAAGCTTTTTCAGGTACTAAGTGAACTTTGATAATGGAGCATTGGTAGAAAACAAAGGCTTGGTAGAACATAGTTGTCTGGGTTTTTTTTTATTTAAAAAGGAGCCTACTAGAAGCTTGCTTCATGTCCTTGTTAACAAGTTATTGAATCAGCTGGATGATTACAGTTTTTGAAATCAGCAAAGCAAAATATTTTGTACAGAATTTAACAGTATTTGAAACTGCATCCTTTGACTTGCCTGCTCTCTAGGGATTTTTATTCTGAGAGAGGATTTAATACCTGGTTTTACTGGGAGCGGTTGGTACTGTGCAACTCTGTGAAGTAGCCTGGAATGGGATGGGGGATTGTTTTTTAAGAACAAATGGAGGAAAATGGCCTGCATCAGGAGGATGTTGCCAGCAGGTCGAGGGAGGTGATTCTGCCCCTCTGCTCAGCTCTGGTGAGGCCGCACCTGGAGTACTGGGTGCAGTTCTGGGCACCCCAGTATARGAGGGACRTGGAGCTCCTAGATAGGGTCCAGTGGAGAGCAACAAAGATGATTAAGGGACTGGAACATCTCTCATATGAGGAGAGACTGAGTGAGTTGGGCCTGTTCAGCATGGAGAAGAGAAGACTGAGAGGGGATCTGATTAACATGTATAAGTTCATGAAGGGAGAATGCAGGGAAGAAGGGGCCAAGCTCTTCTCATCGGTGGCCAGCGATAGGACAAGGGGAAATGGGTGTGAGCTGAAACACAGGAAGTTTCATCTCCGGCTGAGGAGGAACTTATTTACTGTGAGGGTGACAGAGGCCTGGAACAGGCTGCCCAGGGAGGYTGTGGAGTCTCCTTCTCTGGAGGTCTTCAAACCCACCTGGATGCCGCCCTGTGCCCCGTGCTCTGGGTGTCCCTGCTGGAGCAGGAGTTGGACTAGATGATCTCTMGAGGTCCCTTSCAACCTTGAACATTCTGTGTGTTTCTGTGAAAAACAGCAAGTGAGAGGATAGAAGTACAGTGAAAAATCCAGTCTGCTGTCTTGCAGATATACTCACAGTTGGCAGATAAGCCTCATAATTCTTAATGAGGAGGTAGTAGTAAAATACTTCTCAGTTATAAAAATAGTAAAGATCTTAAAGGATTGGGTTAATGATGAGAAAAACAAGGAATCTTTGCAGGCAGTTTCTGAGCTCCCTGTTCCGAGGGGAGCGGTGGGTTCCCTCGCGCTGGGAGCCCCGGCCAGGAGCGGTGCGACTGCGGACAGGGCAGGGCAGGGGCTGCTGCGATACAAGCTCTGCCCTGCTGGGGCAGCTTTGGTGGCTCCCGCTTCCCTTGCTCCCAGAGAGGAGGCCGGTGTTCCCTGGGTGCTGCCCGAGGTGCCGGGCGCTCCTTGTGTGCAGGTGGGGAGAGGCTCCTGGATGGGGGGAGGTCGGAGGCCCTGCTGCTCCTGCCCAAGTCCTTGAGGCTCAGCTCGTTCACCAGCCTGGCCACAAACCCATTCTCCCTCCCTCCTTCCCTCCCTCCCCGCTCTCCCTCCTTCCCTCGCTCTGTTTCCTTCCATGTGGAATCTCCAGTTAAACCAGGTCACGATGCAGAGCAGCGGCCTGGGTGCAAACTCGCAGTTCAGGGCAACCTAACCGTGCTGGCAGGGGCAGAGATCACGTTGGATCTGGTTTTGGGAGTGTTTTCCCTTCAGGTGGGGTCAGGCAGCTTTCCATATGCTGAAAGRCGTAAGCGTCTCCCACGCTGTAGGTCACAGTCTCTGTGCTGCCCTTCCAAAATGAGGGCAAGCAACAAGCAACCCCCTCCGCTGGAGTGGAAACCTGAGAGACAAGGATGAACCTCAGATGGGGTGTTCGAGATCTCCAACATCTTGTGGGAGGAGGGAAGATTTAGTAATTCCCGTTCTGCTTAGTTTTAATTATATAAGTTCAGTACGGCAAGAACTACACTTAAAGAGCATGTTTTTATTTTCCCTCTTTTCCATTAGGAGGATAATGGCATTCCAGTTCACCTTAAAGGAGGGTTAATGGATTCTTTATTGTAYAAAGTCACCATGGCTATTACAGTTCTTGGTAAGACTAATACTAAAATATTTACCGTTTGGTGCAGTCTCCAACATGCTAATATTAAAATATTTACTCTTCGGTACGTTTCCTCCGTAAGTGCAGCTCCTTCTGTCTGTTCCTTGGAGCATGAAAAATCCTTTTTGTAGACAGAAAAAAGGGACTTTGGACATTCTGATCTTGTATTTATTATTTAACTTTGCATCTGAAATCTCTCTTTTCCTGGTGAATTGTRCCCGGCACTGCAGGCACCTTCAGCATGAATGTATTCATGTTAGACAAAGTTAGAACTACTTCAATAGTTGATGCTGAAAAGGAGTGAAATGTAATGGTCCTATGCACCACTAGCCTCGTTCTTAATGCTAAGTTAAATGTGCATTGCTGAGGCTTTGAAACTGTGCTCTGAAGCTAGCAGAATATATCCAGATTTTGTCATGTTGTTTTACTGTCATGTTGCTTGTTGTGTGGGTTTGTAATTGCCGCTAGTATAACTATATTTCACAGCTATCTTAGGAATAAATTATACTTTATGGTTATCTATATACATCTCTAAATATGAATTTATCTTTCTCCCCTTTTTGTCTTTTGTCTTTTCATTTTTAAGCTTTTCTTTGTAATTATGCGGTCTATAGAAAGTTAATTTTGTTCTCTAAAGGCCAGTAAAAAATAGTTGAGCCATGCCTGTGGAACTATGTTGTGTCTGAATTACCGCTGCTTATTATCAATATTTCTTCAATAACAATCTGGGGAATTAATGTTGACTGGAAACAATCGGTGTTGACCATTCTCAAAGCATCTTTTCTATCTCCCACTTCAGGGACAGGCTACGTCCTTTATGAACTGACTGTCGCTTCAATGCCGAAGAAACAGAAATGATTCCAGGCCAAGGTGATGGCATCTCTTCGTCCAGCTCCATGTGATTGTGGTCGTGGCTTACACGTCTTAGAAGCAGCTGACTTAATGTTTGGAATCACTATTTAATTGAAACATGTTAACTGCAATTAATAAAGCAGTTTTTACAGTGCTTTGTTGTGGCCTGTATTGTGTCAAATGTGTTCTAAATCAGAGTACATTTTAGTTTCATTGTGCACTTATCAGTTCAATAAATGTTTAAACTCTTAATTATGTCTAGTAGCAAGAGCCCCTTTTATTTCATAATGTGGTTTATGTTAATGCTTCAAAAGTGAGTTAAATGCCCYGAGTCCTTGTCAGAAAGCAGTATCTTTATTATACAATAATTGTATCTTCTGTCTTTAGTGATCAAGGTGATCTTAAAATAATGATGGGAATTAGGCTAAGCCTGCACTGAAATGAAGAATATTCAAATTGAAGATGTAATCATCATTCTCAGTTGAACCTGATAGTTTCACATTTCAGATTTTTTATCTGTTGTCTTTTGTCTGGCACAGGTTAATGGAATCTCATATTTCCTATGGGGAATGAGGATTTCTGGGTATTTGGGGAAGTGCTYATGTTCATGTATTTATTTTGCTGCTCATAAAATCAACATATATATGTTTATCATCTTTAAATGCTCGTAATTTTCCAGCATTGGTTCATCTTTCAGAAGACCACAGCTGGATTATTTGTTAGGATAAGGATAGCAATTAGTTCTTTAGCATGGGACATGGAAGAAGATCATAATCACAGGGTATTTTAGAACAAGTATGAAATACAAGACGAGCACAATATTTTTCCTTTTCTGACTTACAGGGATATTTACAGTTGTTAGCATTGCTGTTAAAACTCTAAAGAAAGCTACTATTCAATTTGAGAGAAGCACACTGAGACAGCCGCCAAGAACTTTGCAAACTGAAAAGCAGGTATCTTCTAATCTGTCTTCTCTTTTAAGCCCTCGCACAGAAAACAGGACATAAGCAGCAGGGTGAGGTTTAGACCATWGCTCCACAGTATTGAATGACAGATGCAACTGGAGATGAGTCAATGTGTTAATTAATTAATAAGTAAGAATTGACTGTGGCCTGAAATTGCCTGGCGGTACCTACTAACAACTCTATGCTGCTAACACAGCCCTTATTTTTACTCTGAGCCAGGTAAYGGGATCAGTGAAAATGCCCACTGTGTAAATCTGCTTCTAGGAAACATCATTATTAGGTTGGTGGGTAGCGTGGTGGGAATCATTTGTAACCTCACTCGCCACCCGAATGCGTCTACTCATTTTACTGTAGGCTTCACTATTGCAATTGCTGYAGAAGAGTATCTGTGGCAGAGAGCTAGTGCTAGCTGTGCGTCTCCTGTCGTGTTTTGTGCTCCYCAGCAAAATCTGTGCCTTTGTAGCCCTCCTCCCAGGCTGCTGCGTGGAGGTTCATCGAGTGCAGTTCAAGGTGCTTTGCTTCTGCCCGTCAGCAAAGCGTTGGCTGGAGAAGCCTCTGAGAGTGCTGTCAGCCTCTCGCACGCTGTTAGATGCAAAGAAATGTTGGGTCGTGTCTCACAAGGTACCTCTTGTACTCCTATCCCCATAGCCATGCATAGGATTTTTCTTGAGGTCACTGCAGCAATTCTACAGGTGGATTTTTTTTAAAAAAAATCTAGTTCGGGGAAGTTAGGGGCATATGTCAGGCTGGAATTTGGGATTTCAATGTCTCCCTTTTTTATTGTAATCTACAGCAACAAAATAGTTGCCTCTTTTCCTTTATCTCCTTGTTGGTCTGGAGCTGACTGYGCAGTCATGACAAAATAAAACAGCTCCTAAAGGGGGAAAATGGGGTTTCCAAAACGTGAAAATGAACAAAACATGCAAGCTTCTCACTGCTGTGCTATTTGAGGCCTCTTCTGGCTTAAAGGTTTTGTTTTTCAGTTTTTCATTGCTATCCTGGTGAAACAAAGCAGGTCTCTGCATCTAGTGAGACAAACTGGAAGTGCAAGTGTACTGAAGAACTGTAGTAAAATAAAAAAAAAGTTTTTTAAAAAAGTTTTTTTATATGGGGAAATTGTTTTTCTGAGTGGGGAAATGTACTACAGCAGTAGTTCCTGTGCTTGGTGGAACTAACCAACTTCATGCCTAAAAGGTTTAGGAACTAGCTAGGTAGATGTTTTCAGAAGTGTGGGGGANTTATTTTATTTTATTTTATTTTATTTTATTTTATTTTATTTTATTTTATTTTATTTTATTTTATTTTATTTTATTTTATTTTATTTTATTTTATTCCTGACAGATGAGCACTGGTACCTCTGAGAAGAAGCCTAACAGGCTGCAGGTGAAGGAATCATTTTGCTCTCTACAGCACTGGAGGCCTGGTTTAGTATCCAGATGCRGACCAAGGTGCGGGGGATCTGGAARCCAGCATCAGGAACAGAACTCATTTTGCATCCTTTCCCACCCACAGGATTTGTGAAGAATATTGAAAGAACAGCAGTTGTTTTATCAGCTTAAAATACACCAATCCTGTGGTAAGAGAGGCAGTGAGAGCTTCTTAGTGAGCTAAGCTGAATGTGCAGCTGCCCTAGTTCTCACAAGAAGTGATATCTCAGAGGCTAATATCTCATATGTGGCAGTAACTGTCGGCTGTACTACAGGCAGCAGCCTTGGCAGGATCCTATGTGGGGTAAATGCAAAACCTGCTAGGCAGGAAACAGGAAAAATTCCTAGAATTTCCCTGAAAGAAAAACAAAGAACAGGAAAATTCATAGAACAGGAAAATCTCAATAACATAAAGTTACTAGAATTTACAGATAGAGCTTTCTAATGCTCTTTAGGTGCGATGAGACCTCAGAAGACTTCTGACGACAAAAAGTTGCTTTGGAAAGAGTAAGCGTAGTAACCCCCACATGTTTCTCCTTGCAATAATGTTCTGCAGGGTGTGAGGTCAGGTGTGAGGCGGCTGTAGTGCAGCGGGTCGCGCTGTAGTTCAGCRTCACCATCGCAGGGCGGCGTGGGCAAACCGTGTCCGTGCTTCTGCTTCTGCCTTTTCCGCTCCGCGAGCGGTGAGCGAGGGCAGCTTCATGCTTTGCACGCTCTGCTCYGCTTTCTGGGATTGCTTTACAGAGCAGGGTGGCAGCTACCGTGTCCTCCTTGGTCTGTGCATGCAGATAATTGCAGGTATTTTTTGCCCAAAACAGAATGTCTTTATGTTAATGTAGAATTTATTCTATATATATACATATATAGCTACTTTTGGTAGCCATGATTTTTGTAACGATAGGCTTTAAAAATTGAAAAGCCCTCTCAGTAATGGAAATGCTAGCCTGGAGTCTATTGAGCTTGTCCTAAATGACCCCTAAAATGGTGGGGAAATTTTAAGGGCAAATAGTACTCCACCTGTACTTGCCTTGGCATCCTATTTTTTTGCTGTTCACTCTTTTAAACTCATAAGGTTTTCAGGTTAACGAAGAAAGTTTACTGGTGTGCCAGCTTTGACAGAATAAAAAACATTGGTAGTATCACTATAAAAGAAGATATTATCAAAATAATAAACAGACCTTAAATATAGGAAAATTAGATCCTAAGTACTGTACTTAGAGGTTAAACGATCCTTTCTGACACCTCCAACATGCAGACCATGTTTTGCTTTCTCCATTAGGCAGGTAGTGCAGAGCCATCTGCTCTTTGAACAGTGCCCTGGGCTACATCGTCTTGGCTGCTGAACGTAACTGCAGCTCCAATTACCCTGACACACACAASAATCTCCCCAGTAAAAGTCTGAGGACAATAGTCATACACAATATCGCAGCATCAGCTTCCTAAAACAAAGCATGGAAAAAGCTCACCACCCTCATAAATGTCATGAAAACACCATGGAGAACTGTTAGTATACAACCTCATCTGCTCTTGTTTTCTTTCCCCAAACCTCAGAGTGAAAATGCCACTTTTGTAGTGCTGCTCAACCTGGTTGTTGCTGCTCTGAGCATAGAGGAGGCACTCTGAATTTATTTTGTCATCTTTTGCATTAAACTATCCTTCCTTACCTCCCCCATTCTTTCCTAATTTTCTTACGTATCAGAGAGCTGGATGTTGACCTTCATAGTTGCTAAAGTGAATCAGACTTCCAAAGATAGACAAAATCAATCTGATCAACCTGACTTGACCCTAAATAAGCTGTTTAGGTGATGAGTAGGTCTGAACCAACATATCTTTTCATGTGCGTGCTTGTGCAACTGCTTTTTTTTTTTGAGAAATTCCTTTTACTAATAACATATCTTCTAGTCTAACTTGTCTGAGCCTTTTATCTTTTTTTTTTTTTTTCAGTCTTCAGTTAATTCTACCATAAAAATGCAGAAAAGTAACCTGAAATGAATCTCCTTTGGCTGCGCTGTACTGTTCTTCTGAATGTGAGTATCAAGGCTTGAAACTCAATGGGCAGAGCAGACCATCAGTGAAATATCTGGGGTCTTGACTCAGTATCTCTCAAGATTTGCTCTTACTATTTGCAGGTTTTCTATTAGGCTAATTTATCATGACTTTTCTATGAGAAACATGCTAGGTTAACCACACTCATGCCTCTCTTCTCAATAAAGAAAATCTCCTTGTAGAAATATTTCATCAAGACTTATGATTACCATTTTTCCAACACGTTAAACTCAACCATAAAGGTTTCTGATATATTAGATGAGTGATACATGACAGAGCAGCTGGTAAGGCACTCCTGGTATCAATTCCATGGTGAAGATCAGGAGCCATACACAACTGCTCACTCAATTTGCAAAATATTCAGTCCCATAGGTTATTGCCTGCCAGATCCCCTATAGAAAATCGCCACAGACGGATGGACTTGTCTTTTGCTATTATGTTTCTTTCTTTGAGTTCCCAGTTCACCAATTCGAAGCTTTTATTTTTTTCCCTGTCCCTTCTGGGTTTTTTTTTTTTTTTTTTCAGTGCATGTAATTCTCTTGTCTCTCATTTCCCTAATATTTTATTATTACAACTGGGTTTGGTATTTTCACTGGTGAAACTCTATTGCCAGCCTGTCCGCCCTTGACCTTCTCAGCTCTTCACTGATTGCAGAAGAGACATTCTCTCATGGGCATACAAATAAAATGGAAAAGAATTATCAGATAAAATCAAATAATATTTATGTTTCACAAA